GAACCTGCACTACGGCGCTTATTAAGGTTTCCGACCATATCAGGCTAAATATCGACAACAATCTCGTAACTTTTCTAACACTTCTGGACCATTCCAAAGCGTTCGATACTGTTAATCACGGACTACTTGGATTGAAACTTAAAAAATTATTCTACTTTTCTTCGCCAGCGTTGAATTTAATAAAATCATACCTTAGTGATCGTTCGCAAGCTGTTTGTGCCAGTAACATCTCATGCAGCTATTTACCTATAACTGAAGGTGTTCCCCAAGGTTCAATTCTTGGTCCACTTTTGTTTGTATTATACGTGAATGATCTTCAATACGTACTATTACAGTAGTAATATTCATGTTATGCCGATGATTTCCAATTGTATGTAAGTTGTCCTCTTGTGTCCGTCAATAAATGTATTAATAATCTCAACGCTGACTTAGAAAACGTCAATAAGTGGGCCTACGATAACGGGTTACTCTTAAATCCAAACAAATCCCAGTGTATCGTTATTTATAAAAAGGCTTTTAAACTCGACGACTGCAATGAAGTGACACTGAACAATTCTGTTATAAAATTTGTGGAGACTGCAAAGAACCTTGGAATAATTTTTAACAGAATCTGACATGGAATAATCACATTTATAGTACAATAGGCAAAGACTATGGTATGCTACGATCTTTATGGACCACTCAGCAATTTACCCCAGTGAAAATTAGGCTGCTATTAGCAAAATCACACTTATTACCAACGCTATTATATGGATGCGAACTGTATGCCAACTGTGATAGTCTGCGTCGTGGTAAGCTGAATGTCCTGTACAACAACACTGCGAGATACGTTTATTGTATAAAACGCCATGAGCACGTATCCGTCTTTTCCAAACAAATTTTTTCTATAAAATGTGATGACTTGTTAAAGCTAAGATGCCTAACACTTCTTCACAAAGTGATTACTTCTCAAGAACCCCAATTATCTTAAAGAGCGACTCCAATTTACCAAATCGTCTCGATCCCAAAACTTACTAAGTATGAAATTTAGCTGTCTTGTAACTGAACGTCAGTTCTTTGTGCTTGATGTCCGTGTTTGGAACTCTCTGCCACATAAAATTAAAATAATTAAGAGTACACCGCGCTTTAGGGCTGAACTACTACACTACTTGGCCAATTAATTGCTAATATGTACGCATATCCTTCTTTCTACCGTTTTGCTTCTCCGCTATTCTTGTATACCTTCACAATCTCATCACCCTGCATAGGACGAAAATCATTTGTGGGGGCTACTACATTAGACACACAAGACCCAAGAATGGCATAATTGACGTCGTCAGGTGATAGAGTGCATCGCACACTCTCCTTACGGCGTACCCTAAGGCTACTGATATTGCGCCACAAGACACCCGGTGGTAGATTGGAATCTAGTTTATTTGCATAGTAAGCGCGCTTAGCGCACCTTGTAACGTAAGCGGAAATATTCCTAGCCGACCTAAAGGCATCCCAGTTCGCTAAGGTGGGATTTTTTTCCCACCGTGAATGGAGCTTGTTTCGCAATTTGATGGCCGACTGAACGTTTCTTTTATACCACGGGCAAGACGAACATCTAAGAGGGACAGTAGGAACAGCCACATGTTTGTCAAAAGCACCTCTAAGAGTACTACCAAGGAAGTTAAGTTTAGCGTACTTAAACTGATTGGCAATGCCAGCATTCCTCCCAGTCTATTCTGCCAAGGTCCGAGAAAAGTGCATCTAAATTAATATTCCAGAAGTCCCTATATGAAGATGTCTGATCGTTTGCGTGGAGAATGGGGGAAAATACCGTTTTTTGTGGGGAATTTAAGTTTACGTGGGGAATCGGCAGATGAACCGCTTTTTTTGTGCGGAATTAGGTGTTAACTATTTTTTTTTTTTGCTTCACTAATTTTTTGAGTTAAAAAAGTACTGATTATGCAACCCTGTAAATTATACAAATTACTCGTCTTTTGATATGCAAGAAAACCCCAACACCATCGGCAAAAGAATTCTAAAAAGAAAATTTTTAGCCACTCGAAACTTGCACCTTATTATACTAAAATTTAGTGGCCTAAAAAACTTTGAAAAATCTGTTTAGAAAATTGAAAAGCTCAAAACTTTTACGAAAGTTTATTGAATTTTTTTGTTTTAAATATTGCACAAAGTGTGAACTTGGATTTATAGGGGTTTTGTTAAAGAATGAGCTATATAAAAAAAAAATAATTCAAATTAAATAACAAAAAATACTAATTGTGAAAACTGGTCAAAATTGGGGTGGACTAAAATTTTTCGTTCACTGTATGTATGTAAATAGTATATGCACATTTATTATTCTTTATTTGTTAACTAACTTCATAAACGTTTGATTTGGTTTATGAGTACATATGTATGTAGATGTATTACATTACATATGTACATACATATATCAAAATACATACTTTTTTTGTAAATAAGATCAGTATCCAAATTCCGTCGGGTACTATGGCTTTGGAAGCTTTAACCTTCCCGATGGCTACCCTTACCTCACCGCTGGTGAAAACAAGAGGCGCCCTTGGTGTTGGCAGTTTGTGCAGCCTTCTGATCACTCCCGTCGGTTGGAGTGAGGAGGACAATGAAAGTGCTTTCAGTAACATCGGCGAAGCCTTTCCAATCAACTTTGGAGAAGTTGACAGAGATCCGGTGATCCCCGGAAGCAAAGTCGGCAGGTTTATCAATCGAGATGACTTTGGGCAGATGGTCTGATGCTAAGGTAGTGCCGATGCATGCTTCCCTCCGAAGTTTGCCTAGTTTTACATGATTACACTGGTTCCTTAATGCTGTTCACCATATCAACGAATCGTAACATAAGATCAGATTCGTACAACCGCTGTGTACATCCAGAGTACCAATTTTGAATTAAGATCCCATGTATTCCAAAAAGCCGCTTACAGGAATATGTAATGCTTGCTTTCTTATCTCTCTCTTTGATATTTTCCAACTTAGTTTAGGATCCAGTATGACTCTCACATACTTCGCTTGTTTTGATAATAAGAGGTTTTTTCCATTCAGCTTTGGTAATTCAAAGCTAGGAAACTTATTGCTGGCCGTAAAGAGAATTAATCCTGTTTTCTCTGGGTTCACTCTAAGACCATATTGCTCAGCCCATCGGCCTACTTTTACTACCTACTTTTTAGTTGAGCTTGAGCTGTACTGAGTTGATGGTGGTAAGCCATAAAATTGGAGCGATGACTCTCTCTGGAGGAGTGCTACTGCTAACGTACCGGTTCTTGGCTTCATAGCAAACTTGAACGTACGATGGTTTTCAACATAGGATTAGAACAGCTTCAGCTGTCGCGAGAGATCAGCGTCACTCTGTCCCAGTTAAGGTCTGGATTTTGAAGTTGTTGTTGTTGTTTTCGTAACAGCATACTTATTCTCCAAAGGGTTTTTGGGGAATGATGCGGGAGTGACAGTCCTTGGCTTGATATAAATCTGGGTCGTCTGATCTCGTATCTGTCCAGACTCTACCAAAAACATGTTCGGCTTGTGAAGATTTCCTACGACAACAATCCCCTCTTCCCCTGCCCACCCAAACCCAATCAGCTAACTTCCCTTTTTCTCTGGTCCAACTGCTAACCAATTTAGTCGGGGCTTAGCTGGGCATATATTTTTCCTGCTTTTACAAATTAAATAAGTCCTCTTCAAGTAGGGTTGTTTAAAAAAATACGTGTACATATACGGTATATGGGGTATGGAAATATTCCTTTTCCCTAGCAGTGAACCTTTTAGTGTGGGCAACAATGATGTTTTTCAAATAAGGCAGATCGGAATATGCGCTCTCTGGGAAGACAATGGGCCGTATGAATAAAAATAAGCAATTGCTTTTTCTTAAAATTTCAGATCTTTTACTCAATTTATTCAAACAAAATTTAAGTAAAAGGTATGAAATTTTAAGAAAAAGCAATTGCTTAGTTTTTATTCATACGGCCCAATACCTTTAATTATTGTACCATGTTTCACGTCTAAAAGCACAGTTTATAGTAACCTATGCTTTGTCTATAAGTAAAGATATGTATAAGTTTGGTTCGTGAAGAATAAAAATGTACTTAAATAAGTGAAGCGGAGTGTATGTGTGATTACACATACATATGTGCAAGATTTGAATTAAAGTGTAAAACAAACAATTAGAAGCTATAAAATACTATTCAATTTGTGCATATAATGTATGTACATATGTATTAATACGTACAAAAGTAAATATGGACATATTTGGAAGTTTTTGACTCACCGGGCCTTCGTCTTTTGGGTGTACAAGTTTGGGATGAGGCTGAAGATACCTCCGACGCTATACCTGTTTGAACACTACTTGTTCCGGTTACCACACCAGCTGCACTTGAGACCATTGCACTTATTTGCGAAGAAATACTTTCCGAGCGGCGGAATGTATCTCGCAATCGATTTAGGGAGGATAATGATGGAGAGCTAGACAACAGGTTACTGGACGCATTGCTGACGATTTCTTCACTATCCGGACTGCGTAGCAGAAGATTGCGAGAGGTACTCATTTTCTTACACAAATTATATTTCAGCACTACACTACACTTTTTTCAGATGCAACAATTAAAACAATAATATTTCACAAACGCTATTTGAAAGCCAAAAAATAAACATCAGAATTAAACAAATGGACACCAAAAAACCTCCGACGCAAATAATAATGGGTTGTGGGAGATCAAAAACAATTTTCAGCTGTTTTTGACAATCCAGCTATCACTTCATTGGCCTTGCAACTGTTTTTGCTAATTTTCGATAACACTTGCACCGAAACTGCGTTTTGGTACTAAAATGTACTATCGGAAACCGAAATCGGGCAAAAATGCCGATTTATTTATTTATTTATTTATCACCCTATACTTCCCGTAGTGCATTCCAGTGACGTCCGGTAGTGCCTTCCAGTGGAAGTTTTGTGATCTATCCCTGTTCTGACATTCATCTTGTCTTTGACATTTGTTTGTCAAATTTGTTGGGTCTGTGATTTGCAAAAGTTTTCTCCTGCTTACCAATTTCGGAAACTAAACGTTTGTTCTAAATGATAAATAAAAGTTTATAAAAATTGTAGCAATGACAGCACCAACAGCAAACGTATCAGCTTATTTAGCAGCAAGGCACATGATTTAGCAGCACAAAGCACAAAAGAAAACAGCCAACTTTTTTTGTAAATTATCTTTTGGTGTTATTTATCAGTTCTGTTTTGTTTTATAAAATTTTTGTCAATTTGACATATCTAGTTACGACACAAAAAACAGCCGTTTGCACACTGACCGTCTTTCGATAATTTACTCGAGAAAAATGGATTTGCTGAGAAAGGTATTTAATTATTTCTTAATTAAATTGAATTTGTTATACATCTTTCCTATTGCAGTGTACACAACAGCTGCTGGTGAATGCAAACATGTGGCCGCAAGCGCTTTCTGTTGCGTCCACTGCGTTCCATACAAGTCCTGTGTGCAGCCGCGTGCAGGCTGGCCGCTATCGTGTCACTACGAAGCGTAACCGTGCGCTCACTTATGAAATGGCTAATCCGCCCCATTACATTGCCCATCGAAAGTCTTGGAACTCATGGAATACATGTTTGTAAAAAAAAAAAATACCAAAGTCGAATTCCCCTTTTATTTCTAAGAAATTTTCTTTCACAGCAACTATGTTGGATGGATTACGCTCTTCGCAGACGGCAATTGAAGACTTATTTTTGCGGAAATTTATGACCGGTACTTGGCATGCGCTAGTCGTTTCCGAAGTGATTATCAAAAGACAGCACAATATGATAAGAATAGCTGCCATTGTCCGTCAGGCAATAAGCCCGCGGAAGATGTATTTCCTTATTGGTTATACGGAAGAACTATTATCATATTGGTTGCAATGTCCTGTTACATTGGAGTTGCAAACAGTTGCTGATAAAAAAGATGTTATATTCAAGTATATTTAAATTGTACATCGTAATTGTTGTATGTACAACGAAAAAATAAGCTAAAGTAACCAAATAACTATAAACCATTTATCAGTGCACAGTAATCTCATTGTGATTCTTGTTACTCTGCCAAGTCTTAATGGCTTTATTAACTATGGTTGCATCTTGATCTTTAACCTGCAATGTATTTGTGAACAATGTTTAAATATTTAGGTAAGTATATTAAAGAAGACAAACCTGTTCAATTAAAGTTTTGAGCTCAAGTAAGGAATTACAATTCAGCACATGTTTTCTCAGTGTTTTAACTAACTCCAGGAAAACGAAAACTACAATTTTTCTCGATCCTCCGCAAATTTTATCCCATACTTTAACTAAAGCCGTGTCTGTAATGACCCCAGCAAAGCACGTTACATACCATTTTTCCACAATTTCACTTGTGTTGTAAACACCCAATCTCTCTAAATGGCTATAATTTATAAAAAAAAATGTATATATGTAATTTGAAAACGTTTAGGCTGCATTCCTTAATTCATTCTGAACGTCTGGAATAAACTTTTTTGTTTAATTGTTCTTTAGAACGTTCCTGATGATATATTAACGTATATTTCAAACTCATTCTATTTATTCTGGCTGTGAAATGGGATTATCTGGAATGTATAAAGAAACGCAACCTTAAAGTGTCTTTACTCACTTGTGCAATTCTATATCTTCACGCTTCAGCAATGTCTGAGAGAGCTCCATTAATTTTGAACATTCCTGCTCTATGCCCTTAGTGCATGCAAAAAACTCTTTGGCTATCCAATAAGTTTCCACGTCATTGTCGAATATCTGCAAAAGTACTTTAACGATTTCCATAAAATTACTGTCATCTTCTGGTGGGCCAATTAATGGGTGTAGCAATCGACCATTTTCCAATAGCCACATTGTTTGTAGTACTTTACTTTTCGTGGTAGTCTGGTCTATATATTGCATCATAGTGACTGCGCGGAGCAAATCCTCATAGACTGCAGTGCGCTGTTCTAAGATATAATCCATAGAGTTTTTATGGAGAGGCAATATGCCAAGTATAATACTCCACAACAAACCCCGTTGTGCAGTAGGCACCGTATAGCTTAAACAAAACTGTTTTAGCTTCGAGTGATTGCGTATATTGTCTTGGAGCAGTTTATTTAATGACTTCTTTTCCTCCACAGAATAACATCCTACTTTTTCGTAGTAGCTTGAACGGAAATTTCGTTCATCCATCCTCACTCCTCGCCGCTTGTATGCACACTCTTGCTTTATTGTTAAGAATGTTTACTTCAGAAGTGCATTTAATTGTTCTCAATATTTTTCAAAACAAGGCTAGTTTAAAGGATTCTATTATTCTACATCAACAACTTTTTGTTATAAACAAATGAGATTAGTGAGAGATAGGTATGAAACGATACGAGTAAATACAAGTTCATACTCGATACTTTTCGTTCGATACCAAGTATTTTTGTAATCGATACTTTTGAACCAAGAATTGCCGAAACTAACCCGGCGTTTACATGAGACAATTTTGCCAAGACAATAGCAATTCATTTACACTTTTTCAATAATACATTCACACTTCTCTCGTTGTCTTTGTCACTGTCTTTAATTTTTCCAATACAGTGAATTGGACAATTCGGTAACGTCTTGGTTCTTCAAGGCTGCTTAATTGACAGCAAAAACCGCGAGAAGGTGCAAAGTCGATTTAATGCAAAGAATATACGTTCCAATCACGATTAAGCGAACAAAGGTGGCACCGTAAAACATACTGCTACCTTGGTTTTGTCGATTTTAACAATTCTGGTCTAAAAGTAAATGCACCTCAGAGACTTCAAATGCACAGAAATGCACTAATACTTCTACAAAAATCACCCCTTTTAAAATTTTCCTCAATAAATCTTATTCTAAATACTATATTTTATGGCCTTATTCATAAAAAATTAAATAGATTTAAAGAGCTTTATGATTACGAAAATTGGGTCTTCTGACAATTTCTTTTAACACCCAGTTCGGCTTTGTTTACTTTTTGTACACAAATGTCATCAATCTTGTATTCTCTTATTGCTTCACCAAAGCCGATATAATGCGACATATACAAGACCCAACTGTTCGAGCGGGAGAGTAAATTGGATCATTCCTCAGAACAGACGTTTCAACGCGATAGTTAACTCATTGGCCGGCTTCAGACTGGAAAATTTCTGCCGCCAGAATAACTCTGTTTGTAGGCAAGAGAGGCAGTGCGATGAGATTTTCAACTTATTTTTCGTGCACCCCTTCGTGAGTTGAACGCAAAATCGCCTCGTACGAACACCGTTTTAGGGACGCCAGTAAGCCCAATATTTAGGATAGTCCGAGGCATCTACTACGTTTATACGCACGTATTATTTGCAATTAATAATTTGCGAAATGGTAAACTTTGCCGTATAGACGCTGAGTTAAAAAATTTATTAAGGGGGTTCACAAAGTACCATCAAAGTCATATTATGAATTGTTGCAGTCTTAAAAAATAGTTGGTTGTCGTTTCAAGTTCTCTAAACATTTATTTAAGCTTTTAAAGTTTACGACATACAACAATACGACACTTACGACACAGTTGTGGTACTATTGCAAATAAGCGCAAGAAGCCGCCATTCTTAGGTTTATTTTCTTTTTCGATTGTCATCCTATTGCCATTTTATAATCAAAACGTTGCCATTTTTAGCTTTATATTCTTTTTCGATTGTCATATTATTGCCTTTTTATAATCAGGCAATACGAGCCACGGGATTCATAAGAAAACCGCTTTGATATGTTTAACACAATTTTTCACTGATCCATGCATACATTTACATACATTGAGGTTTTGACAACTAATACATATTTCTTTATTGATAGCATTGTCCAATGTAAACGCGCTGTAAAATCAATTAATTGCTAGACAAGGGGAAAAAGATAAAATGGTGGTTTCTATCGATACTCGATAGTTGTTCGACCATCTATATAACTATCGTCAGTCTGAAACCATCGATAATCTTGTCGATAGCATCGATAATCTGCCAGTACTACAAATATTAGTTTGACAGCTACAGAATTAATGCGAATTTATTGACGACTCCATTTGTTAATTGCGAAAAAGATGGATTTGTGTGCGGAAAAGTTGGTTTGTTTTCTTACGGTAATTTTATTAGCACTGCTCAAACACGGCGTATGTTCTACGAGTAGCAATGAGTATATGAAGCGTGAACATTCATTGATACGGCCATTCCAAGGTGAGTTTTGGGAACTTCAGTGTCGATCATTAAATCGACGTATTTAAAACAAAGAAAGTCGAAGAACAGGCGTCATGTATAGCTCGGTCTTTTGCATTTTGCAGGCGTTGGGATAAATTTACCATACTGGGATTTCTTGGGTCACACAATGGTCACCAGCAACTACATAAGACTAACGCCGGATTTGCAATCAAAGAGCGGTGCACTGTGGAACTATTCGGTAAGTTCGTAGATAATGTATGAATGGAAAGAAATATTTTAATGGTTGTTTTTGTTGCCTAGCCCGTTATGACACGTAATTGGGAGGTACATGTAACATTCAAAGTACACGGTAAAGGCAACGAGTTATACGGAGACGGATTTGCTATTTGGTATACGAAAGAGCGTATGCAGACAGGACCTGTGTTTGGCAGCAAGGATTATTTCTCTGGCTTGGCGGTAATATTGGACACATACAGCAATCACAATGGTCCACATAATGTAATTTAACTCGATAGCAATGTAGTATGGAAATATAAATTTAAAAAACGATTTCCATAATTAGCATCAACATCCCTACCTCAGTGCTATGATAAATAATGGCACATGGACATATGATCATGATCGAGATGGCACTCATACTCAACTTGAAGGTTGCGAGGTGCGTTTCCGAAATGTGGACTACGACACGCATGTGAGTATACGTTATGAAAATGATGTCCTCTCAATTTCCACGGATATGGAAAACCGAGGCGAGTGGAAAAATTGTTTTGTCGTGAATGATGTTGAGTTGCCTACTGGCTATTTCTTGGGACTATCTGCGACAACTGGTGATCTTTCCGACAGCCACGACATACTCGGCATCAAGTTTTACGATCTCGATATAAATGTTACGGTGAGTATTTATGAATTCAAACATTTTTTGAATGATAAAATTCAACATTTTTTTGAATTATAAATTTATCAACACGTTTTCGAAAATTTGATTTCGTATTGTATACAGCCCGAAGAGATATCAGCACGCTCTACTATTGTACCACGCGCGAAAACCTATGAACCACCTCGTGAGCACAAAGACGACCCTAAACCGGGAATGTCGAATATAAAAATATTCTTTATACTTTTATTTGGCATGTTAGTTGCAATCGCTGGTGCTATCTTTGCGATCTCATACTTCAAAGAGAAGAACTCAAGAAAGCGATTCTATTAAACTGATACATCTATCTTCCACCACTCCACATAAAACACATCACAGACTTCTTAGAAAAATAATGTAATAAAAAGATTAATACGATGAACTGCATAAGAGAGCAACATTCAGTACAGTTGCATTGACTTTATATTATAATTTATTGGGTATTTAAAGTAGAATTGTGTCTACATGAATTAATTTATTACTTTTAGGTAAATACCGCATGAAATTTGTTTTTAATATAAACAAAGACTTCTAAGTCATTGCAGGTTATTTAACATTGCAATTTCATACTACCCGGTATGAAGATACATATTTCATCAACTATTTACAAGCATCATTAGCAAGAATTAAATAATGTAATTGTAAATAAAAAAAAATAAAAAACGATTCACATAGTTTTTAATACATATACATTTAGTTCGAAGAAAAGGTAAGTAAGCTTGCATTTAGCAAGTTCATAAATACATACATGCATAATGCATACATGAATTTATGCGGCAACAGTTTGTTGATTAAATACGCACAGTGCTTTATGTTAAGCGCTTAGTCATGTTTTACTCGTGGACAACGAGGTCCGGTGAAATGATCCTTCGGCTCGGCAACTATTGGCTGACGGGGACAAAATGGAAGGATATCTTTGCACTCGGGATGAACAACTGGCGCCAATTCGCAAAGGAGAGGGGCAATTGGAGAAGTTTTCTGGTCTCTGCCCAAACTTACAAACGGTTGTAGTGACAAATATGAGGAACAAAACTGAATTTTAATCTACTATTGTTAGTTTCAAGCGGTTAAGAACTCGCATTGATTTTTGCAAATTTTTTTTTAGCTTATGGTGTTACGCTTTTTCTTCCATACAAAGTATGTTCAAATTTTTTTTTTATTTGAATGGGCACAAGAAGGGCTAATTTCAATAACGTTTTTCACGAAATTTTCTTAGAATATATTATATATTTAGAATACGGATAGCCATTGTATTATTTTTAAGTGTATGTTTATTACAAATCTTAGTCTTAAGAATTACTATTTATTTATTTAATTTTTCTGACTTTTCCTGTTATTTGTTGTACTACAAAAGATCATAGATCTTGTACTAATGTTTTTTCGCAATAAATGAAATGAAATGAAGTCGCAGGTTTTATTAGGAAGGGATTTTTCTCGTCCGCCCGCAGGTTTCTAAGGATTCCGAAAAAATTAAAATCATAACTTACCGGTTACTTTCTATAGAAAAACAAAAACTAACGGTTGCACTGTACGACTAAGGGCCAGTTTTTCAGTACCAGTTTAAACTTGGATTAAGTAACCTGAGTTTAAATTGAACAGTTGGCTGACTTTTGATTGGCTGATCTTAGTTTAAACCAGCCAGATCGGGCGTTTAAACTTAGTTTACCCAACGGGCGTGCACTGAAAAACTGGTCCTAATAAGGTAAGAAATGGTAGAGATTTATCATTTCGTTAAGATCAGCAACGAGAGGTTTGAGAATTGCATAATAAATGCATATCCACTTAAGAACGAGCGAATCGCTTTGAAACACAAGGACGTATGTTTGTTCGCTGCACTTGGTTTATGCGGGAGCGCAATATAAGTGAGTGTGTGTGTTCGCTGCACTTGGTTTACGCGGGAAATGCAATACAAATGCGTGTGTGTGTTCGCTGTTTTTTTTTTGTTTATGCGGGAAATGCATAAGTCGCTTTAACAGAGGTTGTTGCGCATTTTCTTCCATGTACAAATGATAAACAAAATAACGATAATTTTACTTGCAGCCAGGATTGCCACTGACAAAAAAAAATACTTACCATCCGCTTGAAAAAAATATCTACCAATAGCTTTTTTATAGTTATTTTAATAAAAACTATAATTTTGTTATTTGTTTAGTTATTTCAATAAGAATTAAAATTGTTTTTAAGTAACGTTTTATTTAACTAATTTTACGGTATTGAACCAAAAGCGAAAGTGATGAAAGTAAAGGCAACAATGAAACTTCCTCTCGAGTTATTATAGACAGATACAGTGACTCAAAAAAGCGCCTGGTGATTGGTAATATTCACAATGTTTTTCAAAAAAAATACCTATTTGTTATTTTTTTTTGTATAAGAATATTTTTTTTCGCTTTAGCCAAATCCATATAAAACTCAAGGATTCAATCTATATACAACATTTAGAAAAATTCAAAAAAATTTGGTCTAAATTTCGAATTTCCTACTCTTAATTTATAGAACAATTTAAGGTATGGAGTTTTATAGTCGAGCGCACTTGTGCACAAGGGTATATTAACTTTGTTCGCATAACGGTTGTTTGTAACAGCCAAAACGAAGCGAGATAGATATGGACAAATGCATACATAAATGATCAGAATGAAAAGAGAAGTCGATTAAGCCATGTCTGTCTGTCCGTCCGTCCATCCGTCTGTTCGTGTACACGATAACTCGAGCAAAAATTGAGATATCTCAACGAAATTTTGTTAATCTCTCAAATCTCATTTTTGCCACAACAGCGATTTAACCTCAAAATTTCAATTGACCCAAGAAAAATTAAGACATCCTCGTAATCAGGAGGCCAAAATACACCATATACACTTTTCAAGCCTTTTGGAATTTTTTCTGTTTTATCGCGTTATTTTCGGTCCCTGCTAAAAGCACCTCACTATTGATGAAAATAAAACAAAAGTTAAAAAAATATAGTTTATTAAGCAGTTTTTATTAAAGTTGTAACTATGTGTGTATGTGTATATGTAGGGTATGTATGTATGCAATTAGGTTTACAAGTATATATTAGAACTATGCTTCTCTCTAACATTGTTTTATCGAAATATTACTACTAAATATATGTTCGTAAGTATGTTTGTAAGAATATTTATTGGAATCGAAGGAACATTCTTATTTCTTAAAATCTTTGTTTTTATTGTTTGTAATTCGTGTGTTTTATACGCATCTTTAATTGTAACTGGGTATACACTTAAAAACGGCTACATATTCACAATAAAATTATATAGTAATTAGGTTTAATAGACGACTTTGCCGATCTGCAAATGATAGTTGCCATTAATAATCGTTTTTAGTTGTTTTTTGATTACATTTTGCAAATCTTGTGATTACACAGATGCATAAAATTGTGAATAAATAATACGGCAGTTGCGGGAATTTGCTGAAATCATTTATTCAAAATATTGAATGTGCGGATAGTTCAACGCGTTTAATGCTCTGAAGTAATAAAACCCAGGTAATGTATTGCTTTAAAGCACTAAACACTTATGCATGAAGTAACATTTTGATTTAAATTTCAGTTTTATACTTTTTTGGAGAAAACGCGCAAAAAATTAAGTAAATTCACATTCTTTTGATTCATAAGAATCGAAGTACTTAATACTTTGCGTTGGCTATAAATGATGAATAAGAATTCTTAAGATCTTAAGTGCACTCAAGCGCATCGCTCTAATTCGAATTTCATAGAAATATTTTAGAAAGATGCGTTGAAGTTATAAATCAATGTTTTTTTTTTGTTGTTTTTATCGACTGTTTACATTATTACACTTAAAGCTTACATTACATAACTCGAACTAAAACATGTTAGAGCAAATCTTATAAACACGCTACATAGTATACATATAAAAACGCTTATAAGGAAAATATGAACGCACAACATTTCAAACATACTGGTTATATATTGTATATGTATTTTTATGTATTATATAGTAATAAACTTCGAAGATGAGCTTCTATGTAATTAAGCAAGTAATAAAATTCAAGTCTTTAAAATTGACAAAAACGAGAACAGAAGACTTTATTGCCTTAATACTAAGCGGATTATTTTACTATTTAGAAAATTAAATATTAATATTTGGTTTAAATGACAAATTCGACTTATTTGCAACTTTTAATTATTATTATAATCTAGCACGCTATATAGCAGCGAAGTATTTTAAGTGTGCGTGGAAGTGATACACTTGCAACACATGAAAATATACTGGTTCACTACTTTTAAGCTACTGATCTTTCCGGTACCATGACTCGAAAATTCAACAACCGTACCAGCTCAGCACAAAAAAGAATTAATTTTAACTTGGTTGGCATAAACATTGACCAGATCACCGAAATTTTAAAACTACCAGAGCGACTTGGATGTATTCATTGTCAGCTGCTGTAGTGAACCAGAAATACCACCCAATTCACGCAATTTCATTTTATAAAGAATTACAAATCTCAGATTAAACTAAAAATTATAAATAAACACCTGGGTGTGCACAACAGTCGTAAGTAATAGTGTAACTTAAATAAAGAGGTAAAAATGAACGAGCCAAAAATCTTTAAAACCCGCTAAGTGTATAGATGATTTTGAACGGTTAGAAGGCACTTTGCCGAGTTGCATTTATTAAAAAAAAATTAATACCAAATTATTAGGGGAATCTTTGGAAAATACTGGCAGTATGTGCTTATTTCTTCAATCAAAAATGAACTCTCTAAAGCCTTTAAAAGTAATTTTTTCAATAACTAAGTCAAAGCTTTGGGGATATCATTTATTTTTAGAAGCAATGAATTTTCGAATATGGACGTTGTTTTCTTGTTGTATAGAATGATAATCCAAAAGTATGCGAATTGAATCTATTTAAATAAAACGCATACTCAGCAAAGCACGGGCCACCTGCAATTGAAACACATTAAAGCATACACACATATGTACTATAAATATTTTTATTTTGAACCGAGGAAATAATAGATAAAAGCGCGCACTTCTAAATATATAAAAAAGCTACCTTAAGTGTGTATATGTAGTATAATTTGCTTTATATTGATAAGCGCATAATAAATATTGCTGTTATCGAATATAAACAGGAAGTTTATTTGTTTTTTTTGTTTTTTTTTTAAGCGCATACGACTTTGCCACAATGGAAGCAACGAAATTGTATCGCACGTCAGCAAGTACTTTTTGTATTAAATAATCGACAGTCCGGCCACTTATTCGATGAACAAATGAGTAATTTATCGTGTTCATCTTCAATTGCGAAGTGCTTCGGCACAACGCTTATGCACGCGGGTCCATTACTAGCATTGAAAAGCTAAGTTGAATGAGCGAATGCGCGCGCTTTCAATGTGCTTAATAATTAAATTAAGTGGATATCATTTAATTCCATGTAAACTCGATTCGCCTTTGAAAATTTTGTTATACCTAACCGCATTCAGTTTTGCCTGAAGGTATGCACACATTGCAAGCTTCAAACATTTCTTTTTTACTATCAAAATACTTTGCTTTTACGAAATTTTCTTGTATTGTACATGAAAATACGCATATAGTCAAGCGTAAAGGTTTGCTCCTTAGAACGCATACGACATTACGCTGCTTCAATATTTTCTTTCCAAACTAGTTTTCAATGTATTACATTTCAGTGAAATCCCTCGGGGCAGGGGTTTACTTCAAATCATTTTGTAGATCATTCTGAGTGCTTCTTAGTATTTTTTTATAATTAGTTCACTAGATTGATTAGACACTATCTTAAAATTATTTAAATGCGCTTAAGTGCATAGGTTTTGACTAACTGATTTGATTGATTTGCTAATAGGGTTTCCAATGAATGGTGTGTGTTGTAGGTTTGCGCGCGGGAGATAAGATAATGACAGAAATTCTAATGTATTTAATCACATTACCGATCCTCTTCCACACACACATACACATTGAACCCAAACACCGTGAGGGTATTCATACCAAAATTTGCTACAACACTACATTTATCAAGTCAATTTTCGCTTCACTTGTGCTACTCTCTGACAAGTATTACGTTCGTTCTATAATCTAATCTGATTACCGAATAAAATTGCGTTAGTTGTACGGCTATTAAAAGTTTACTTTGTCATCTTACTTTCTACCGCCTCGCTGCAATCCTGCCAGCCTACCACCAACCGTGTTCACTGCAGTTTTTACTGCTCCATTTTGTAGCTCACCGTCGACACCTTTCGGCGTATTATCGAATGTTGAGCTACGTATCAGCGTTTGCTTCTTTTGCAGTTGTTGCTGCTGCTGCGTCGTTCGTTGACCCACTGCAGTCTTGGGCGCATTTAGTGCCGGCGACGACTTCGTTTGCTGCGACTTCAGTTTACTCACCACTGCAGCAGAGCCACGTGCTGCGCTGACGCGCGGCCCCTTCTGCTGGTCTTGCCGTATGCTTTTTGCGTCATTTACGCGCTTCCAAATGTTGGCGATGCGACTTTGCGCTTGATTGATTTTTGCCACTGCATTTTTTGTAGCATGCGCTGCAGCTGTTGTGGCGGTATCACGGCTGTTGAGATTTGAATTGCTGCGCGTAGGAGGCGTCGTAGCCGATACGCGTGTAATGCGCGCTGCGCTGCTGGTGACACGTATGGCCGCATTGCTGTTGGAGCGCTGGGGCATGGCGCCGCTTGTAACTGCACTAGCTGTTGCGATTACTTTACGGTGTTTTGGTGAGCCTGATTTCGCAGCAATCGGTATTTTACGGCTGGTGGCTGCCGGGGTTGATTTTGAAGTAGTCACGGGGGCGGTACACTTTGTTGGCAGCTTTGAACTGCGTTGCGGGCTGCCGCCAGTTGTAGTTGTAGTGGTTGCAGTTGACGGTAATGTCGCTTTCACATCTGACACAACAACTGGAACTTGGCATGTTGCAATCGTCGGTTCGTCCTGCACAAATGTGCCTTGTCGTTCGAGTGAATGTGACGCTGCCGTCTGTTGTATTGTTGTATCCTTCGCGCTACCGCTATTGTGGGTCTGCAATTTCTTCGGCGTTGTTAACCGCGTTCCAGTTGCATCGGTAGTATTTACATTGGTGTCGCGTTTGCGGCACGCATTTGGCTGCGCTGTTGCGGTTGGAGTCAAAGTTTTATTGGTGGCAACACGCGTTTGTGGCGACATGTTGCGTTGATATTGTATGCTATAGGGTGAAATGTAAGCTGGTTTTTTACGACCACGCACCGCTTTCTGCTTATCATCTGGCACATCTTCGGTCGCAGCTAGCTCAATTGGATTGGCAATACGTGCGCGTGCCAGCGGCTTAGCCACCGACTGCTCCTCCGATTCACTATCATCAGAAGTGTACTCCTCGCTCTGGTCATCATAATTTTCAGCGATGCCATATGTTTCATGTTGGTCATGACAGGACTCGGTTTCGGAATTTTGATCGCATTCAATACTGGTACAATCACCACCATCTGGAGCACCTCTCACCTCTGCCGCTTCTGATTCTGTCGCGCCGTTGGATGTGCTAATAGGCATATTTATGAATTTAAACTTTTGCGTTATTGCGCGTAGTGAAGAAATATTTTCCGAGGGGCTGTCGTCGGTGGAAGTTAGAGAATACGGTCCGGCCGATTCTTCCGCGCTGCCGTAGGTATCTTTTACTCCTGTCACATTACTTGTAATTGCGGTTGTTGTTGTTGTAGTTGCTGTAGTGTAAATTATCGTTTGGGTACGATAACGTTCGGCATCTGCACGTCGACGACTGCTCGAACTGAAATCCATATAATATTAAGAGCGCTCAAAAGATATTTAAGGAAATTAGCTCTAAAAACTAAAAAAAAAACATTAAAACATTTTTTAATGAAAAATTATCATCGGATTCGATAGTTTTCAGCGGATATAATCATTGTAAGAAGGATAAGGCTATAAAAGCTGTAAACTTACGTTACTATGAAAGAAAATGAATAGATATCGAATAACAGTGACATCAATATCGATAGATTATCGATATGCGCAGTTATAAATATCGATATACACATCCATAAATTATCAATATGTATACTATATACAAACAAATAAATTGTATATATTGGAGGCCCGGAAACCTCAAAATGGTCGAAATTTGTATGAAATATTTTCCAAGTTTAAAGTTTTCCAGTTACCCTGGATTATTTCAGCCAACTTGTACTACTTTGGATTGAGTGGGTAATTGAGAAGTAAAGTCCTCCCTCGTTGTAAAACAAACACACTTTATAAGTAGCTCATCGCGATGGTATATAGTGCAGAAGTATGAAAAACAATGACGATATCCGATGAGATTTATTCGAGAAAAAACATTTCTGGGATGACAGACACTGACGTAATATAGTGAATTCAAATTCCGTTGGTCATGTCTTATGAATTGATGGAAACTATCTAACATTTTAATCACCTGAGTATATAATTACACTTACCCAGAGTTATTAGCAATATCCGTCTCGATAATTTCAATTTGCAACGTTTCGTCTGGCATTTGCGTCTCTGCCAACTCCAATCGCCGTTGTTCTTCCTCAGTTACATATACATTTGCAGAAATCGTGTATGTGCGGTAACGGTCTTTGGCTACTTTTCGTTTCTGTTTGGGCGTTAATGTGCGTTTTTCGCCATTTGGTGGCATTGGTGATGCAGATGATTTCTGTGGCGTGGACTCGGCAGAACTGAACTCGCATTCATCCATTGGCAGCGGTGTGCTGCCAGCCCCACTGTGAGAGGAATTTTCTTCGGCTTCGAAATCATGTGGCATTGTTTCGTAACAACTTTGCAAAGTTACCGTGTTATCGTCATAATCCAAACCTTCCATATGACCGCCTGCCGCTGTCTCATAGTTTGAGGCTGCTGAGAGTGTGGTGGCCATGCTGCACTCTCCATCCGCCACCTCCGATTGTATGCTGGCCACACTTATCATAGAGTCCAATAACTCATCCATCAGGGACGGTGGTTTGATATTCTCCAACAAATTGCAACTCGAATTAATGCTTTCAGCACTGCCGCTTAGATGTGCGGGTAGTTGTCCCAGCGCGCGTTTTGCCACCAGACCATGCGGCAGTGACTTGCGCGGAAATTTTGGTGAGCGCATCATCATCTGTGGACTCTGCGGTGTGCTACTACCGCGCCTTTGCAAAAGACCGAGCGAATGAAATGTGTTAGACTGTGACTCTTGCTGATAGTAGCCAGATATGTTGAGCGATTCCATTCCCGATGGTGGACGGATGTTGTCCAAATCCAAGCTATTCATACTGAAAGTTAGGTCGATGCTGTCGTCGTCATCTGCGCTTACGTTTCCACCATGCTGCAGATTCTCAGCTAAGGCGCGCGCTTCAATGGCGATAATAGTGGAATTTGTCATGGCCGCAGCGGCGGCAGCGGCCTGCGCTGCAGCGGCAGCAGCTTTGATGTTGCTACCATAGAGCATATGATGATGACCACTCAGGGAGAGTGCTGCTGATTGCACAGCTCCACCCAATTGAAAATTTATGCCGCTTTTGGTGGTTGATTCTTCAGTTGGATTGTGACAAGATGCATGTATGCTGCGGCTTTCATTCACCAACGTGTCCGTTTCAGTTTCCGTTTCTAATGAGCTGGGTTGTGTGCCCGTGTCGGCAGGTTCGTGCAACAAAATTGATGGTTGTGGCTGCTCCTCATTTATTGGTGTTATTTCAGCGAAATCATGTAAATCTTTATGATCCGCTTCTGTTGCATCAGCCTCTTCATCATCATTATCGTCCTCATCATAATTTAATGACGCAACAACCGGTGCTGTAACGCTAACGCTGGGAAAAGAAACATCGTCGTTGGGGCAGGTATCCTCATTCCATGTATTGTTGGAGTTCGACGTACCACCAATAGAAATACTGGCGGCACCTGAAGCCATTCGCTGTTGTTCAACGGCACTACATTCCGTAACAACGTTTGTAGAGTTAGTACGTAATTGCTCAGCTGATGAGACGAACTCCAATGTCAGCCTTTCCACAGATTTTAACATCAAATCGGGATCTTTGTGCTTTTGAGACGTTGTTAGCGGTGGAGATGTGCGTGACTGGCGCATCTCTAGCGAGACAGTGGTTTCAATAATGAACGATTCATTCGAATCATCACTAGTTGCGGTGTTGTCCAGCGAGGCAGACGGACTATTCATCTCCTCATGTGCGAGCAGCTGGTCGAGTTCAACCGACTGCTCTTCTTTATACCCAGTATCGTTCACTTTCTTGTCGACTGTTACGTTCACGTGATTTGGAAGATTTGCGTCGTTGTGTGCTGTGATGGTGGTGCCCATCGGCGGACTTTTTGCTACGTCTGTGATGTCGACGCTGTTGGTGTACTTCGCTTCCCAACAGTTCACGCTGCTGTAAGAGTTGTTGGTGTCGTTGGAAGTGTTGTTGCTGCTGCTTTTGCTGCTGTTGGTGTTGTTGATAGTGGTGGTTGTGTTGTTGTAGCCGAAGTTGCTCGTCTTTACTACGTCTGGAGCTGCTATGCTGTGCACATTTGAGGATAAAATAGCCGCGTGTGGGTGACACAGCGCCGGTGCAGCCGCAGACGTAGCCAGCACGTTTTTTGGCCCGTTTTCAGAACTATTGTTACTATCGCTAACTGCAAATATCGGCATAGATTTTGAATGAGTGGTATTGTGAGCCGCATATTTTGGACCGCCTGTCGCACTACCTCCACCGCCGCTGTGACTATTGCTGATACTAATTTTCTTTGAGATACCGGTGTTGATGCATTCCAATAATAGCTTCTCGTCCTTGCGTTCCCGTTCGCGTATATGACGATTGACAGTTGTTGTTGTGGTTGGTAGTGCAGTGGCCACGTTTGTCGGCAAAGCTATCGGTTTGGGTTGTGTATGCAGTTGCAATGGCAGCGAATCAAATTGCTTAAGATTCGGATTTGATTGCGTTGTGCTGCTAGTTCCCCGACGATTGCTCAACAAATGTTGGCGACGTTGGTGATTTGCGCTTTCTCGCGTTGGCTTATGCATGCCGTTGCGTATGCACAGCTCAAACAATGATTTAGCTTGATTATCATTCGAATCACTCGAGTCCACTGAGCTGTAAGATTCATTACCATTTTGATATCTATGAGTTGTAATGGAAGTAATGCCATCATCGACGCCAGAAATATGCTGCTGCTGATTTTGGTAGCGTCGCGCTGTGGCACTTGAATTGAGAGACGATGACGAGGTGGCTGCATTTATTGGTATTGGCTGGGAGGAGGACAATGATGTGCGCTTGTTATTGTTATTGGTTCTCGATGTGCTGCTGAAACCAAGATTCGATTTTGGCCTATTGCAGCCGGCGGCAATAGCCTATGGAGAGAATAAGGAAGAGCAAATAGATTCCGTCAGTTTGGAGGATTTTTAAGTGTGTTGGGTTATTACTCACCTGACTTAACAGGTTCGTATCGTCTTCAGAGTCTATAGACAATGAGCTAAGTGAATCGTCCTGCCATTTTTGTTCCATGCGTGCACCCTCTTCAGTAGCCACTTCGTCAGAAGGCTGACCTACATTCGCAGGCATATTTTGTGAATTTTCAATACTGCAGAAGGGAAAAAATAAATGCGATAAAGCAAATAGATTGTGAATCTGAATTGTCAACATCACAACTAAAAATGAATGTGAAAATGGTAATTTTAGTGCAAACAAAAATCCTTACAGCTGAATTATTACACAGTCGTGTGTAAAATATTAATACCAAGCAAACTCCTGATGGTTAGCTTTGAATTGTGAGGTCATATTCTGACAGTATTTGAATTAAAATTTGTTTCATGTAACGGATATAACTAGTAAGTCTTTACTAAATTTTTAAAAATTTTACAAAAACTTTTGTAGCGGATGGAAACAATATAAAGCAACATAGGTGCAGAGTTACATGATTTAATACTGATTTGACAGGTCAGGTTAAGAGAAGCATGATAAAAACATTTAAATCTGTGTTCGTATGGAAAAGTAGCTTATGTCGAAAGGCTGGCTTTAGTATAATGCGGCAATGCCTTTATTTTTTAAACGGCAAGGAATTTTTTGATGAGACTTAATAAGAATATTGACTTGCTAGTATGGGAACTATTTCTTCCACGTTTATATGCCAAAAGTTGTTTAACGGCTTAGCGCCAGTGAGTCATTCGCAATCGTATGCTACGAATGCCGATTTATACCAAAGCCAGCCTTTCGACATAAGCTACTTTTCCATATGAACACAGAAATATTTTTATCATGAAACTTTTAATTTTAAGTTTTCGCTTTCATAATCTTGGGTTGGGTAATAAGAAAAATCAGTCACTATTCAAAGAATTTTTTTGTGGTCTTAATATTTTATGCATGACTGTATATAACTATTACATTTTCCTAGTTTAATATTATTTAAAGGGTTAGTAACTCACCTTTCCGTATTACCCTTTAGTTGAACTGCCGGCCCCACCAAACTGGAACCCACGGTCAGGTTTGACAATCCCGAAGCCACAGAAAAATTACAGGGCGAGTCTTCTACCAGGAATTTACTCATTTCATCTGAGACTGGTAAATATGGCGGAAGTACATTACCGCCGCGTCGCATCATAGCTATAGGATCCGCCGCAGGCGAAGGCCTCATCATTTTATGTTGTATGGCCCCGCCGCTCGTATGCGATTTCGCCTGGGTATTAGGCTTCTTCATGCCTACTTCTATGCATTGCTGCAACAAATCGAATGATTGACCGGTTGCACCACTTTCCGAGGCATTCGATGACACATCATCTGATAGAGTAAGCGAGTGCCGATTTTGGCACATATCACCTGTTGCGGAGCGCGGCGGCTGTGACTCCTTTAATTCTTCCATGTTATTGCTCGAGCAAATCGAAATCGCTGATAAATTGGTATTACTCCCGACTTTCGAGAGCAGCGCTGGCGTATCCTCAGTGTAATAATGCTTTGGCTCCTCGACGGTCAATTGACTGTCTGCGGCTGTTTGACTGTTGGTTGCGCGCACCGACTTTTTAGAGGTTGCAGCTGTTATGGTTGTACGATTCATCCCCATGTTGATGCAATTGGCGAGCAGTATATCGTCGATGTTGTTACCAGCTTCTTCTTCTTCACCTGGAGTAGAAATGTTTGACATAATTAATAATTGAAGACATGAAATGTAGGAATCACTCATTTCCTTAAACCAAGACCAATTCCGTTTAAGTCACACAAATCGAATTAAACAAATATCGAGAGAATCTTTAATTTTTAACGATTATTTTTGTCTCTGGTTAAACTACTACCCGTTTGGTTCAAATTGATTTGAGTTTGGGTTAGTTTCACTAACGCTTGAGTTAAACAAATTTGCGAATTATATGAATAAAGTTCAAACAAACCTTCTGACACAGTTGCTGGTTGCATAGTGTTTTCGCCCTCAACCGGTTGTCTAGATGGCGGTAAGCTGTTTTCATCATCTATTATGCTCAGATTGCTTAGGCTCGTGCGGCATGAAAATTGTGCTGGAGTATTTTCGACGTGGAACGTGCTTATATCATCTTCAAAGACGCTTCGCAACGGGCGTTTACTTTCCTCACCGATGGCAACGCTACCACGTAGCGCATGACCAGCGCTGCTTGCAGCTATCCCGACTGCACATCCGCGCGTGGGTGCAAGCGGCGAGACGCCTGACTGAAAGGCGCCAATTCCACTACCGCCGCTGCTGCTTACATGGCCGGCATTGCTGTGGCGCCGCGGCGAGTGCGGCATACTCTGTGTAGGCGAGTCGGGTATTTCCGAAGGTGAAATAACGCCGCTGGCTAATCGGCTGAAATCACTAACGACAGAGCTCTTGTCATCGCAAGCGCCTATCTCCTCTTCGCCTTCCTCAACCAGCGAATCCATTGAGCTGTGACGCGAAAACATTAGCGGTGTTTCTTGTGCGGAATTCATTGTGGTCGCATTGCCGCTGGTTTGTGTAGCGGAGAGACCAACCTGCGGTAAAGGCATGTCCGTTGGTCGGGTTTCTGCAGGCTCGTCGCTAACCTTTGTTGGGCATATAGTGGTTGCTTTCGTTGGACCCGCCTTGACATCTTTATTGTGCGACTGCTGCGTCGGCGGCGACTCATCTAAACTGCTCAGCGATTCGTAGCGGCTGAAATAACCGGGTGTACCCTCTTCGCAGTAATTGATTGGCTTTTCAGGTGTGTAGGATCCCGAGCCGTACGTGGCGCCTCCATGAACGCCTCCGTTGCTGGGAATTTGCTGTACTCGGTGGCATTTTTTAGGTTTATGTGTAGTTTTTGCAGACTCTGCTGGTGGAACAGCTTCCGATTTGACGACGGCTTGTCGCAAGTCCGAGGCGGACGCGGCATTGGATATAACGTATGGTGTATCTTCAGTTTGATAGCATTTCACAGTATCTTCAAGTATCAGTAGTATTTCATTGCCATCACCACCTTCAGCTTGGTGCACATTTGGCACTCCAGATGATTGCAGCGTGCCGGCGGTAGTGTCCATTGCGATGGCAACCTTACTAAGAGCTCTTCGCTCAGTTGACAACACATGTAAATCCGACTCAAGTTGATGCTCAGCATAGCGCAAACTGAAGTCAGTTGGCTGATCTAAATCAGTTTCCTGATATGTGACGCTGGCGTTGCTGTTGGCCGTTGCTTGCACTTTAGTTGCGCCTTCGTCGGGAATTTTGGCATCTTTTTCACAGTATTTGGCTGAGTAATCGATTGGCTGCTCCACGTCAGTAGCTTCCACATCGTTTTCTAGTGAGTAAGCGGCTGCAGCAGCTGCTGCCGCATATGGCAACTTTTTGCGATTGGCGTCCGAAGCCGATTGGGAACGCATCAAATTCTCGTAGGCCGTATCTGATTTTGCGGAAAAGACGGAGTCGCGACTTTCGCTCTTGGTCAGCATAGCGGAGCGTGTGAGTCGCACTGAAGCACCTGGAGGTACAGTTCCACCAGCTACGCCGGTGTAGCGTTGTCGCTGCGTTTGCATAGCTACACTCAATGTGTTATGTTGGTGGAGTTGACCACCCTCTCTGTGTATACCGCCATTGCTCATATCTAGGTTATCGCAAGTCTCGGCGTGCTGTTTTCCGCCTAACTCTTGTTGCAGCGCCTTTTGTTTGCGTACATTTAATGTCGGCAATTTGCGTAGGCCCATCGAACGTGCAATTGGATCCAATGGATTCTGACTCTGCACTGCTGGCCGGAAGTTGAGTAGGTTCTTGAGCGCCGAAGCACTGCCCTCAGAGATCATAGCGTGCTTTGAGTGTATCAGCGAACGTAACATGGGCACTGCGCCGTTATCCCACAGAAATTTTTGATCCTCTGGGCAACGCGCCGATAAATTCCACAATGTACCACAAGAATTGCTCACCACCGTTAAACTCTCCGACTTAAGCTGCTGCAGCAATATCGAGAGGCAGTTGCGCTCGCGCAGTATTTGGCGGTAATGTTCGCGAACAGCGATGTGACTAGAGACGTTGCGAAGTATGCCACCTGCGTTTTCGATGATTTTCAGCGTTTTACTGGGTCCCTCGTACGAGAGCATATCGACAAGGAAGGCGAGTGCGCCCTCCACCGCACAAAATTCGGCCTTGTTTGTACTACAATGAGCCGACAGATTCCACAATGCAGATAATATAGCCTTAAGCGTATTCTCACTCTTGTTTTTCATAGCCGCGCCCGCTAAGGCGGTCACGGTACCAATTTCATTTAGCACTGCTTTCATATTGCTATCAGCACGCCAGGACAGATTGCGCAATACGCTGGCGGTTACTTGCAGTAAATCATCGGGTGCCGAGTCCAACTGCGCCACCAGTGCCTCCATGAACAGTTTCTGACTACATAGATAGGCCTTGTTGTGTTCATCGCCGAATGTGAGATTCGTTAGCGCCATGAGTGCATACCGTCGCAACGAATTACAGCACTGATCCTCAGATTTCGGTCCGTGCACAGCGTGGTCCAAATGCACCAAATTCGGTATTGCCTGCAGTGCACCCAACTCGCACATAGCATGCCGATGCTCTTCGTCGAAGCTCACTTTCATCAATGACGAAATCGCCGCCAGCGGATGCCTTTCTGAATCATCAGCAATCGCTTCGCCACCGCTCTGCAGAAGCGTTTTCAAAAAATTACAATAGTCCAATATCTGCTCGAGCAAGCGCAGCACCTTTGCTTCACGTCGCGCGGTCTTTTCGTCCGGGTGACTGTGCACAACGTTGTGTAGTGCCATGCTAGCGCATTTTCGAACACTATCATCGCCATCGGAATGCATCATCTGCACCAGCAGAGGCACACAGCCGGCACGGCGTAGGGCGCTGCATGTTTCTGGTGTTCGCGACAATTCAAGAAACTTCTTAGACATTTCCGCCGGGTCATTGGAGCCCAACATCGACAGTAGCGAATACACACACTCCACCTTCGGACCAAGACGGTCGACATCGACAATGTCATCGACCCCAAGTGTATTATTGCTATTGTCAGCGCCGATGCCAGTGCTGCCGCCAGCATGAGCCATTGGCAAGCTGCCATAAAGTCTATCAAAGCTGCAACTACCGCTCCCGCTGTTGCTGGCCCAGGCGCCACCTTTTGGTATGCTGCGTTGTAGTGCTGGTGGTGGTGAAGGCGTTTCGGCGCTGTGCAGAAAACGTGACAAGGTGTATGATGACGTGAGCTCTTTATTGCGCTCTCGTGAAGTATGCGAACTCGACATGCTACCACTATGACTACCGCTAGCCGCGCCGCCACCATAACCGCCGCGGTCCAATGAACTTTTACGACCGCCACCGCTGCTGCTGCTGCTGCTCTTCATCAAATGACCTGCATTTAGGGCGGACTGCTGCTCCTCTTGCCGTTCGAAATTGCGGTCTAGACTACGATGCTCGCGACGCAGGTCCTGTTCGACGGCAGTAGCAAGCAACATGTAGTCTGGCGGTATGGGATTCTCGTCCAAAAAATGCTTTGGTTTCGTAAATGCGCTCTTTCCAATGCCACATGGTAGATTCAAAGTGTTATCGTCCTGTGTAAATTCTTTCTTTGTATAACCGCTAGCTGCCAACTCATAGTCGCTAATCTCACCGTCACGCTCGTACTTCTTATCCATCTTCAATTGTTCACCGCTGCTGGTGGAGGTGCAGGTTTTCGACTCTATTTTTGCGCTGAAAGTTAGCACGCGCTCAAAATCAGCGACCATTTCGGGTGGTGGCATGGCATCGTCTAAGAAATGGGGCTTCTGTGTGGGTACCTCGTCGACATCCACGTCGACTGCAATGTCCACTTCGGTGTCTTCAACGATGATACTGCCAGCATCGTCATCATCCAAATTTGACCCAGCGTTCAGTTTCGGTTCGCGCCTGTTGCTGCGATGTGATGCAGACGTCGTCGACGACGATAGCATTTTTTATGCGCTCAAGCCAACTTCAGCCGAATTTCGTTCAATAAAATTACGCACATGCGTCTGTAGCATTGGTTACACACTTGAGCCTAGTCTGCCATATTTTCCAACGGTGCAACGGCAACTGTAACACACATACAAAGATATCTAGACATTAGACAAATAGCAAGCAGACAAATTAAAGTAATGAGATTCGATGCGGCTATTTTTAAATGAGTTCACACCGTCGTTTTTCTTTCCTTTGAAAAAATTTAATTTTTTTTTTGTTAGTCTCTTTTCAATTGAACGCGCCCTGAGGCTTTTACTCTTATGCACTCCTCGTTGACTACACATTAGTCATTCATACAGACGCACAAACATTTCAATGTGTACAGTGGCTGAAAGCCAACTAAAAAATTCGCCAGAAGTATAAGTGACAGAGTAGAGCGCAAGAGCTATTTCTAAGTCTGTTCCACGTCAAGGCATAATTTTAGTTATTTTTATAAAGTGTTACACACATTTTGCTATGCACTCAACGCCTTGGCACTCAGAATTTATAAGCCGCTTCCTATTCAAACACAACATAAATCTCCTTATCGTTCATTGAAATGTATTTATGGAACCACCTAAATTTGCATGTATACTAGACCACGTAAAAAAAATAAAAGTCCTGCAACGCGACCACAATCTGACTCAGATTTTTGTATTTGGCATAGTAATGATCTTCCAGGAATCTCCCTTCTCTGCGATAATTCTAAGAGGTCGCGCATTGAATGTTTAATTTTCTCATTGGAATTACACGTTAGTAGCTGAGTTATTCTCTTTTGAGGTCAATATAATTTACTAGGATTAATCAAAATGCTCGAAACTATAAGAATACATTGATTACATGTCATTTAAGTATTATGCATGCTCAGATTTACTCCAAACTCCTTTTTTATTTGTTTTTTATTTTTCGATTATGGATTGAACTGGGATTGAACTCAGGCCCTTCGGAATGGTAGCACGCACTGCTATTCAGTACACCACAGCGGCCGCCCAATTAATGAACTATACTTTCATAAATAACACACTGCTACAAAAAAGCATAAAGCAGAAATACCTGGGAAGTTATGTATATTTTCTGGTAGGTCTTTTCGAGTAAAACCAGAATCGAAATATGAAATTTGCCAAACACTCCCAAAATTTTGATATACTGTGAAAAACCGGGATTTCGTACTTTTACGCACTTATAAGCCCGTAACTTAATTGATTATGAACTTAGTTTCAGTTTATTGCCGGGTTTAGAAAGAAGAAACTTGGGCCTTTCGAACGATATATATGTATGTGAATAAAGAAACCTTAAGATATCTGTGTGTATTTACCCAGTAAACACATTTTCTTAATTTTTTGCGCCTTTTTTAAATTTTGGTGAGGTTTTCACGCATTATTTAAAAAAAAAAACAATAACAGTCCTAAATTGATTGTAAAACTAAATTTAATAAGGAAAAGAACTAGTTTTTTTTCAAAAATTGGATGAGAGTTATTAAACTTTTTATGTAAACAAAATTTTTGCAAATATTATTTTTGACTATACTACTACTCAAAAATGTTTTCTCCACCGTTTCTTCTTAATATAGCATCGTCAGTTTCTTGTTGTAGTGACCAGAAATTCTGAAATATTTTTTGTTATATTTTTTTTTTCCGAAACGTTTTCTAATTGTAGCTATTTCTTGGTGAAAGTATTCGCCTAGTGCATCACTGAACCGGCGCAAATTATGTGGGATGAAGTCCAAATGCGAATGTGGGAAACGAATTTTTGCCGGACTTGCCGGTATCTCACTATGATATTTAGCTTTTGTTGCACATACGTACGAGTACTATGGTCCACTTTGGCAAAGTTTGAGAACCTCACGTTTAGAGGTTGTAGTTTGAATTATACACTTCTGCTTATGTATGTATGTGCATGTGTATCTCGGGCACTAATAATTGCGAGCAAAAAAGGAAAGTACACTTTTTGCAACATTAACAGAAACCAAAACATGAAAAACTTCAACGTTACAGTAAAGTTTAATAAAACAAAATTAACTCGTATAAACCAAAAATACGTTGTAACTAACTTAATAATCTGCCTGACACAAAAAAAGTTTGTTGTTAGTACTAATAGGCAATTATTAATGCTGGTCACTTATTAAAAAGCAGAAACGTCAATGACTTCTTTGCTCCCCTGAAGAATAAGTATGATTATAAAATTCCTTGGTTTTACGACCAATTATCAGATCACGTCAATCTCAATAATCCACTATGTGTGGCAATGGGACATTTGAAGTATGGGATTATTAAAAGCCATGCATACAAAAATTTGTATATGCAAAGTATGTATGTATGTATTTAGTATTTTCTCTTTGTGATACAAGTACAAAAGAACTGTGTCAGTCAACGCCACTCAAAAATAAAACTTAGCACAACTATATTTAGTTTGTTTTCGCATATTAAATTACTCAGCATGCATATCTACACACAATTATTGCAGATGAGTGCGGAAACTTTGTAGATTGTGGATGAAACAAATCTACTTGCAAACGATATCATTGGTAACAGAACTAAGTTATTAACAGAACGAAGAGCGTTTTACAAGATTAAATGGGAAACTTGTTGCTTTATAGTATCGATTGAATAGCGTCTTGAGCTTTTTCTTTTACTTAACATTAACTCGAATCACTTTTATGTTGCAGCAACACAAAATAGGTTGGATATGGAAGAGCTGCCGTCAGAGGGGACAGCCCACATTTTCGCCAATCAACTCCTATTCCTTGCCCAGCAAACTGATACATACATATGTTTGCTGGCAATGGGAACTCATCTCTCGCTCACTTCACAATGCCGCCGAAGAAGGGGTACGATTTAAACGAGCCGGAAAGAACAACTGGTACGACCAGGAATGTCATGTTGCAGAAATGCCGACTGCAGGGCTACGCTGCGATATGACACAACCCGAGCCATGTGGGATTTCTATACTGAGCTTAAGAAGAGGGAAGAGCGGCTTTTTTTCTGTAATAAAAGGAACTAGGCCGAATTACGTCAGTGCAAAGCGATTTAAGTGCGCACCCATAGAAAAAAAAACCACCGAAACCCCCAAGTAGGATGTGCCCTGTTACATACACCAACGGCCGAGCGATAAACCTTCTTTCCATAGTATACAAATACTTATCGAGATCCCAGGGCGTGAAATACGAAACCTTACTGTCAACGATGCATAGTCTGTAATGCTCTTTCCAAGTTGGATATGGAAATTAAAGTTATGGAGGTGAAAGAGTACAAGACGAAGGACATATCTCCGGTCATTAAGTAAACAGTCAGCGCCTGCGCCATCACGTCACTTTCGTTCATTTACACCAATAATAATGTCAGCCTGGAAATCCAACGTAGAATTATTCTTCCCAACAATTGCTTCTTTGAACTGAGTGAGCAATTGATAATCAAGTCACTCATCATGCTCGTGCTGGTATGGGGTGCAGAAACATGGACAATGAAAACATTCGATGGTCATTTGGAGAGAAACATTCTGTAGAAGATTTACGGGTCTTTGCAAGCCGACGATGGCGAGCATTAAAACTATAGCGCAGCAAATTAATATACCCAAGCTGAAAGTATTCAAGAGCAAGGTTTCGTCTGCGGTGAAAAGACCGGCTGGATCAGGACCTGGCCTAACTTGACATTTCCCATTGGAATAAAATAGAAACGACTTTTACCCAAAGTAAACCAGGCATAAATACTGTAATTTGCCTTCATTTTACTTGTCAACGAAAAATGACACTACAGATGGCACAACGCCGAAACCAAAATTTACAAGTGATGCACTGTTATTTGCTTTTCCAGCTAAATGTTACAATCGCAATAATTATTAATTAATTAAGTATAACCTCCAAATCTTTTTGAATTGTCAATTTTTTTTTATTGCCATGTTAAGATTGCAATTTTTTGCCTGCGTGTTTTTAGAACAAGTGGAAAAATGATTAAAATTCACATCGGAGCGAAATATGTAACTTGGGTCTATAAAGTAAAATTTTCAAGAGGAAAAATTTTATTGCACATTTTAACCTCTTAGCCCTCTCACGAAAGCATCGAAAGGGTTAAAATGTTTTAAAAAATTATTCTCAGACAAAATCTTTATACAAGGGAAATGAAAGTCCACGTAAAACCATGCACTACACTCAAAAAAATTAAAGTTAAATAAAGAGGATATCAAGCAACCATTTTGGTTCTTTATTATCGAAAAATTTTCGTGGACAACTCGTGGACCCCCATATTTTTTCACGCCAAGGTAGACTCCCGTCGAGTTGGACCACTTTGGAAATCACTGATGTAGCACATCCTGCTGATCTAGTATTTCCAGACCTTCGTAACAATTTCTGACTCTACCTCACGTTTGTTTTTCTCAATATTCGCCTTAACCCTTCGTCGGGCGAACTGATCGGCCAGCACATTTTTTTTATCTCGCCGTGCCGTTTTATACCGTTAACTTTGCTGACGCTCAGTGGCTGCTTCTTTTGAAGTGCTCTCTACAGTAAAACCGCTCAGTTTTTGTTTGACCCTCTTAACGAGAATTTATGTAGAGTTTGATCTGAGAAGCTCATTTCATCTAAAAGTAACATGTCCCAGAGTTGAATTTTTATGGAATATATATTTTTTTTATTTACCTTTGGATTTTTATCACGGACGTGAACCGGATGAAAAATTGGGTCGGTTCGATTCAGCGGTTCGAACCGTTTTTGCACTTTTGGATTGGTTCGACAGAACGGTTTTTTTAGTCTATGAACCGGGGTTTTGGTTCGGTTCAACGGTTCGGAAATAAAAAAAATAACGCGCAAGTCTAAGTGTAAAGTGTCAAGTGCAACAACGCGCAAGGTTAAATTTTAAGTGTATGTTAAATGAGATGAGTTGCCTTTAGATTTGATATTGCCACATGGTAAACAAACATGGTATGTATTACCATATTTAACGAAAAGAAACAAAAGCGTGTAAATTTATCTATTGAAAATTGGTTTAAACGAACCTTTAAACCTTTATGAAAAGTGGTTCGGTTTTCTGTTCGTATCAAACATTTGTGGAAAGTTTCGGTTCGGTTAATGGTTCAGTTAATTAATAGAAAAAATCGGTTTTCCG